CAGAATCAACACAAAATGAAAGTGTAGGCACTTTAAGGGCATTAACTCTTATTTGTGAAACCCCTAAAAGTGTAAAGTACAGTTTTTGGGAAGCAGCCCTGTAATGATAAGAGCAGGGTGTGAACACAGCATAAACCTTTAATCTCTTTGTCTCCAGGCCTACAGTGCTCAAGTGCTCTGTTCCGTCATGAGATTGGCTACGTCCTGGGTCAGATGCAGCACCCGGCAGCGGTCCCAGCTTTGTGCGCAGCTCTGGAACGTTCAGGCGAGAATCCCATGGTCCGACATGAAGCGGCAGAGGCTCTCGGGTCCATCGGCAAAGAGGAGTGTCTGGCTGTGCTGCAACATTACCGTGGAGACAGGGAACGTGTTGTCAAGGAGAGTTGTGAGGTTGCTCTGGATATGCTGGAGTATGAAAACAGTGAACAGTTCCAATATGCAGATGGACTAGTCAGGTTACAGGGTTAAAAGTCAACCGAAGTAGCTTTCACTCAGATCTCTTTCTACTCCCTGTACTATTGTATTACCGTATACAGCAGACACAGCTGGGACTCCGGGATGGAGCTTTAAAGTTTATATTCAGCACATAAAATCAAAAATTAAACTGTTAAAGCTTGAACAAACCAGACAAGCGTTTGTGAGCTGCAGTGAGCTCTTAGGTTTGGGCTGTGTGGGTGTGTCCTTTTGTATTCTTCCCCCCCCCTCCATGACACCACTGCATTCATTATTTGCTTTTTCCTCCCTACAGCCAATGACAACAGAAAGTAACTAACTGTACATCAAATCTTTGTTTGTGGAGCATGCAGTAACTCAGGGCTGATTTCACAATTTACCTGGAAGTGTATTTTCATATTTTTGTCCAGGCCACATACTTCTGTTCTGCTATCATTTAGAGTATAGATAAAACTACAGCACCTCCACTTTGCTAACGCGGTCTGGTCAGCTTTCGTTTGGAAGTTGTAGGCCCTACTGACCAATGTGATGGTTTCAACTTTCCTCTGCAGAATTATTTCTATGTTCACTTACTATACTGATTCTAAATTTAAGCATTGGTTCTGATCCAGGCTGCACTACAGTTTAGTAGGCCTGATGTTCATCTGCTCTAACTAATTACAATACAAACTAAATACAATACAATATTTTGGGAAGCACACAGCTCTCATTGTAGGGAAAGTTCATTCCAAACTGTAATCTGCTACAGATTAACAGAGAAATTGTAGTACGTCGAGTACTAGTGCTAGTTTGACTAGATGACTGCAGAAAACCATTTTAATGTGTTTCTTCATCTATTTTATCATTTACAGCCAGGTGTGTACTGTATTGTGTAAAATTAAAACTGCTCTATACATTTATGTTGTCTGTCATCATATAAATTTATAGTTCTCCACAATAATGTGGTAAAGATTTTTTTATTTGAAGACTTCCCATCTTATGCTTTTTCTACCTTTTCTACAGTATTTGGAGCCATGTGTTCTCCACCACCATTATCAAAATACCAAATGAGAGAATATCTTTTGGAAGAATAGGAACATGGAAGCAATGTATTTAACTGTAGTTTGTCAAAGTATTGCTGTTAAAAATAATAACAGTCATGTATTTGTGTTGTCAGAGAATGGTGTTGTCGTATTTTCTTTACCTTTCCTCTAGGGGGCTCGTTGTACTCTCGCGAGCCTAGCAACCGATCTGTTACAGTAACCTAGGCAACCGGTGAAGTTTTAATCTAACGTTACTCTACCACGGTTTGCCCGTAACACGAGTAATATTTTAAATGCTAGCTAACTACAAGTTTTGAACGTTTTGTAGCTACCGTCTTATCCCAAACTGACTGATAAAATTCGGAAAAGGAAATAACAGAAGAGAGGAATGATGGACCCTGCGGATGGAAACCCAGACAGAAGCCAGCAGAGACTTCAGACAGCAGCCTCGTTCAAGGCTTTCATGTTGAAAAACAACACGCAGGGCAACATTAACCTGTAAGTACAATGGATGACACAATGATGCTAGCTCAGGGCTACAGTGTCGAGTTAGCTCTCTTGGATGTTAAAACACTTTATGTACTGAACGACAGTTACCCATTCTCAACCTCAAAACACAAGATTAGCGTTAAGAGCTGTTAATACAAATAAATACTTATAGAACCATTTTGTATCATTTAACGTTAGTAAACTGTAGTAAAGTGACATTTAATGGATATTTAATATTCTCTTCAAAACTGTACAATGAACCCAAATAGCGAACTCTATGTAACACAAGTAATTCGATTAGTAATTAGTATATTCATTTTGAGCAGATTATTGCGCATTTAGGGAACTTTTTTATAAAATTCTCTGCCTATATTATTTAACTTTTTATTCTACAAATGACAATGTATTTTCTTGTCCTTCGTGCTTGCCAATTGTTTGTGGTGACAACCTGTATACTATTACTGACACTGGACACCTTGATTAGTGTGGACATTTTATTACTCCTAAATAGTTTAATTAAAGCTGTATATATGTTACTATCAATATGCAGGCATAATACAATAATGATAACCGTGAAACCCACTTTTTAAGGAAAACACCTGTGTTCTGTACTGTGGGAAATTTGAATTATACGCATGTGCTTAATGTATGAATAACATTTCTGGTTTGACATTCCCTAAAATGTTGTTCTGTAATGTTCCAGCTATGACCACCTCACCCGGCTGCTGATAAAGGTGATGGATGAGCACCCACAGAATGCGGTGGATGTGATTGAGGACATGAGCTGTGATGTGAAGCGGGGTTTATTTGAAGACAAGCAGAGCACCCTGCAAGACCTTCCACACACCACAGCTGCTGAGCTCCTGGCTGAGCAGCAGCGCCTGCTGTTCACCCGGCCAGAGGAGGCTGAGCAGGAGGAAGAATTGGTACTATACACCTACACTGTTTTCATTTGTAGGAGAGAGGGCACAAAGGCATTTTGGTTTATCTGTGTAACATTTGATGGAAAAGTAAGAGTGAGTCAGGTTACATTATCTGAACAGCATTTCATTGACTGTTTGGGGCGGCAGTATCTCAGTCCATTGGAACTTAGCTGGAGAACCAGAAGGTTGTCGATTGCCTGTTTTTTTTTGTCACTTTGTTGAATACAAAATGTCAAACAGGCATCTGTAGAACATGACATAGGTTCAAGCAAATAAATAGCACATAACTTCCAGTCATTTTTAAATGCTTCAAAAACAGGTAATGTAAATTTGCTTCAATATTCTATTGCAAGCAGAATAAAAATGTCTCTGTGCGTGCTTGTGGCTAACACGCCATCTCTAGAGGCCCATAAATACAACTTAAAAGCTGTGTCTGCGCCTCATTGTGAAAGCGTCCTAAGGATCTTTGTGCCTATTTATTCCTTTTAACTTTCTCACTCACTCAGGGACAGACTTTTATGTTTGGCCCTGCTTTGCTGCAAAAAATAACAACAAAAAATGTATTTCCCCAAGGTGATTAATATTCTTCACATGAAGTGTCATTATCATTTTTAACAACCTTGAAAAGAATAACTATTTTTATTAATGGGGAAATACATGTCTTTTGACCTGAAAATGTGTGAATAAAAGTATGGGTATTTCCTATATAGTATGTTGAGCTGAATTTGCATAATGTCTTCATCAGGTGGAAACACCTCTTCCCAATGTGAGTGAGATTGGCTTCTATCTGGAGCAGGCTGGAGTGGGTCTGGGCAGAGAGGAGATGCAGAGGGTTTTCCTTGCACTTAAGCAGCTTGTTGAGTCTCAGGCGCTACCACGCTGCCGGCTGTGGGGCAAGATTCTGGGAACAGAGAGCAGCTATATCGTTGCTGAAGCTGAGTACAGAGAGGGGGAGGAAGAGGAAGAGCAGAGCGCTGAGGAAGATGCTGAGGAAGAGGAGAGAGAGGCTGAAACTGAGAATGAGGTGAGGAAGTGGAAAGTACTCAATCATTATACCAGATAATCTGCATTCATTCTCCAATTATGGCGGGGGTCTTTATTTGCCTGAGCTGCAGAAAGAACCTTGCATCTGACCACCTTTCCATTCCAACTGATTTCCACCATGGATCCAATCGGACCAATGACGACCATTTATTTAATATGGGGTGGGCTTTATACAATGATTGACAGCCGAGTGTCACCAGTCCAGATTTGAAAAGTCACGATTTGCTGCTTCGATTGATTGTAGGTGTGTCCAATTGCGTCCAGTTTGCAGGTCCGTCCAGGGCAAGACAGACTTTCGAAACTCAAACTGTAAAAGCTAGGCAGTGCTGATTAAATATAAAGCAACATTCTGTTACTGCATTGCCGATTTCTTTCCTCAAATGTTTTCATATTTTAGTGTGCTGTATAGCTGTAATTTAAGTTTGTGACCAGGTCACCAGTTTTTTCCTGTTTCACTGCCCCGTGAGTCCAGAGGCATTTTGGTTTACGCCTGTTGATATCCCCTGGACATCGTAAAACTGAGGAGTTCCAGACTAATTTGCATTTGAGAATTAGCCATGCTAGAGAGAACCAGGCCTTTATTTGGATCGTATGTTCCTGTTTTATGTATATTTGATCATACTACAAAGCAAAACTGAGGTTTGCATAATAAGTCAGAAATAAGTCAACGTAATCTACCTCTTTTTCAGGTAAATATTCAAGTTATTGTGGTCTACAGGGGAACATAGAGAGAAGAACCACAGAGAATAATAAGGTTGTACTATCGACTACCATTGCCATTCTCATAAACTACAGTGTTCATAATACCAGGCTGGAGTGTTCTCAGTACACAGTTGTATATATTGCATATATTGCATGTACACAGGACCTGTGTGTAACAAAAACGATTCTTATTTTCAGGCAATTATACGCTAATTATATTCCATTCTGACAATTGATCCTCCTAAATGAACTGGACCTTTAAATATAAGAAAGACATCACAACCACATAAATCATCTGGAAATAGCACATCTATATCACTCTGCCCTACAATATAGTTGTTCCCATATATTTAAGCTAAGTTGTTATTATTAAAATGTGCATGAACTGTGAACATATCTTAACTAAACCTCTTGATCATGAAAACAAGGACACATGATAAATAAATTTTTTGAAAATGAAAAAAAGATTGTAATCTTTTCAAGGTAAAGTATAATAAATAATCTGGGAGTAGTTTTTCTGGTCTTTGTTTTCAGATGGATTCACTTCCTCAGTCGACCTATAAGCCCCTACCAGAGGTGCCAAAGGAAGCCATAGGAACAGGTGCTAACAAGTTTCTTTACTATGTATGCAAAGAGCCTGGTCTTCCCTGGGTAAAGCTCCCTTCAGTCAGTCCTGCACAGATTACTGCTGCTCGCAGGATTCGGAAGTTCTTCACTGGGAGGCTGGACAGCCCAGTTGTGAGCTACCCTCCTTTCCCTGGGAATGAAGCTAACTATCTGAGAGCGAAGATCGCTCGGATCTCTGCTGGGACACAGGTCAGCCCCCAGGGCTATTTCCAGGCTGGGGAGGAGGAAGAAGGTGATGAGGAAGACGAGGCCTCTCGGGACAGCTACGAAGTAAATCCTGACTTTGAGGGTGTTCCAGTTGCTGAGATGGCTGAGTCCTTGTCCACCTGGGTGCATCATGTTCAGCACATTCTGCAGCAGGTAGTCTGATCACAGTTGACAGTTTTCTCAGCTGATGTATATATGTTTATTTAATGTGTAAATACGGACTGTTTTAGGGCCGTTGTACTTGGGTGAACCTGTCTGTGAAACCAGGAGATGACTCTAATGAGGAAGGAGAGGCTGAGGAGAAGGAAGAGGAGCCTGATGAGCCTGAACCAGAAGTTGGTCCCCCTCTGCTCACCCCCCTGTCCCAAGATGCAGGTCAGTCTTTGGCTTTGGGCATGTTCCCGTCAAACCAGTAACCAGTACCAGGCTACTAGGGCTGGGAAAAATAATCGATTCTTCGATGCATCGCGATTCTCTCTAGAACAATTCCGTCTCGATGCAGATAAGTTAATAATCCGAAAACACATGCGAGTTGTTTACATCCAAAGTTTAGTGGCGACAAAATGGCTGCGAGTGACAAACCTATACGGCCTGCACCAGCTTCTTTAAAAGCTGCGATATGGCAGCATTTTGGGTTCTATGAGGTCGATGGGAAGATGGACATACCATGTGTGTAGGAGGTGTGTAGAACGTAAAATTAAATACTTCGGAAATACAACCAATCTGCGGCAACACTTTCTCGCCCCACTCGAGTTTAGGGGTAAGCGACCCGTTCTGATGGCGCAGAGGACAATTGAGCAGGCAGTGTCTCCGGGAGTATGCTCTTTATTACCACCAGTAACAGGGTTTTTGTGTTTGTCTTGTTCTTATGATGATAAGAGCGCTTTTCTTTAATGCATGAAAGAAATGTTAGAGGAGTAATCAGGTTCGAAATCGCCTGCAGCCCTTTTGCTCTGGCATTTGTCTGCCCCTGCTCCTGCCCCCTTTCCCTGTCTGTCCCCAGCGTTCCCCCTATTAAATCAAAGGCCATAAAGATTTAAAAAAAATTTAAAAAAGAAAGAAAAGAGAATATCCACAAAAGTAAGTAGGAAGTGAAGTTGCAAAAACTCCTGAGGTAGCCGAACCACTCCAGATGCTGATATATACTTTTAAAAATCAACCGCCATAGACAAATCGTGTTTAACGATCGAATCGTTGCGCTCTGAATTTTTATCGAAATCAGTGGAGGTGGCCCGATTGCCCAAGGGAAAAAGGGATGTAATTTCCATGGGGATACGGATAGATTGTGTTTGTTTCTGCGTATTTTAAAATATTTAAAATCTAAATAACTTTCAATAACCTGATAATGACTGATGCTAGATGGTGACTCCGTGATCGTTGTAAGTCTCGCCTGCCATTCGCCAAAGGGTTAACACCCACTTTTTTTTTTTTAAATACAAATCATGAGCCAGATTATTTTCCTATTTTTCTTTATGTGATGACCGCAACATCAATCTTGACACAACTCTGGGGCGATCAATTAGAACCGTCCTAATAATCGATTTATAATCCATGCATAAAGTCTGCTGTCAAAAAAATGAGCCAGAATGGAAACCAAACTCCCAATTAATACTGTATCCATCAACTCCAAAAGCAAGTAAGCCTTGATTCCAACAATTGATTTTTGAGTTTAGCGTTGTGAGTGAGCTGGTTTTTCCGGAAAATTAAGTGTATGTTTAACTTACTGTACTCAAAGTACGAACTATTAAGAATGTGTCTGTCCAGGTTTTACAGCTGAATAAAAAATGATTAATAAGCAATAAATAACTCTTGGCCCCCAAAACACCTTTTGACAAGGTTTTATCCAAGCTTTAGCCGTCCTTACAAACTCAGAACTACCAAGAGTAATATGTGTAGGTGATTTTAATATTGCAAACCATGGACTGTTCGAAAATGAGCAGGGCCTTAAGTAAATGCATTTATCTCCAGTTAATAGACTCCAATTGGCCTTCTGTCCAGAGTGTACATAAACCAAAGCCTCCATTGTTTTAATGGCACACTCCCCTTTCCGACCCTCGTTCTACTCCATATCAGTTGGATGAGTTCGAACCCATTTAATAGTCTTCCCACCCATAATCCTCTCCCTATGCTGACATTATTTAATAAATTTTGAGATTCAATGACTATTAAGCTTTATAAGCCCATTATAGGGGAACGTCGCTAGCAGCAAATGTCTATACTGACCAGTGCTGTAGCTAAATTGTAAGGAGGAAGATTCCCTCAGTGTTCAATTGCAACTGCCAATGTCTGAATTTAACAGAGTCTTATATTAATTTACTGCCCTCCCCAGAAATTCGATATCCTTGTTAATGTGCTGCAGGGCTCACTAAACGAAACGAAGCATTAGCGAAGCCTATGCGCTCCTTATAAAACAGATTATTAAACATAGGAAACCTAGCAGCCCCGTGGTACCAACCCGAAACCAAACCCCCGCCCCAAATTAAAGCAACCCAAAGCCTAGAAAAATCGGAAAGCGAAATGGCGCCTCTTGCCACAAATTATCCGAAATCACTCAAAGTTTTGGCCCAAGATACATCTTCTAAAAACCTATAGAAAAGGCCCTCCTACGCCAGAGGAGCCCTATTCACTCCTTCCAGGCACTATAGAAGAAAATAAGAACAACCCTAAAGGTTCCCCCTTTCCAGCAACTGTAGCCAGGCTGAACCAGAGAGTCAGCAGCCCTCTATTCGAAGCCCCGAGCCACATATCCCCATAAATTAAGTTAGGCAACTGCTTTCATGACTTTCTTTAATAATAAAAATTAGTTAGCTATCTCAGAGAGAAAGAATTAATCACCCAAACTGGCCCATCAAAGCAGTTATGCAGCCTGCCTGCTCGCAAGTTCAGCGAACTTTAACCTGAATGTCAAACTTAGATATATATCTTACCGGAGGAATGTTTCCCGGTAGTCCGAGTTTCCACCCAGTTTAACGTCAAATTATTTCCTCTCATCCCGAAGCCAATCAACCCTTGTCTGTTAAGATCCAATCCCCACTAAGGCTGCCTTAAAGAAGTTGTAACCGCCTGTAAGTTGGCAGCCTGGCCGTCTTTAGCTAGATATGAATAATCTTTCCTAATTATCAGGGATAGTGTACCACAGTCCCTTTTAAAAGTAGCTGTAAATTAAACGGCCTGCCTTAAAAAGCCCCATCTTGACCCAGGGGTTTCTAGCCAACTAATGGACCCCGATTTCTACGCTCCCCTTGCGCCTCACCCCCTCCTTACAAGATTCTGGAGAAAAAAGTGTCCGCCAAAACAGTGCTGTCGACTTTCTACCCCATAGCAATTAATTTTATTTGAGGATTTTCCAGTCCAGGCATTTAGAGTTTCATCCACAGCACAGAGACAGCTCCTGGTTAAAGTTATGTAATGACTTTTGAATTGCCTCTGAGCAACGTGGACTTGTCTCCTGTCAGCTTCGCTATTCATGAGATGCTTAGGCCTGGCATTTGACACCATTGACCTATAGAATTGCTTTTACACGAGACTGAGCCATTAATTGGCATTAAACGGAAACCGCACTAAGGCAGCTGTTTACAGTGCATATTTTACTCAGCAATCGTTTCCCGCAGTTTTGTCAGTGTAACAGCATGGAATGCTCAATAAATACTAGAGTTACCGTCATAGGGAGTCTCACACAAAGGCGTTCTGTTACTTGGACGCCGAATTCTATTTATCCCACTGTTATAATATGCTCCCTTGTAGGCCACATTATTAGGAATCACCTCCCATTAACTTTCACTGTTATGCGACTGCACCACGCCAGTTAATATCTATCAATCAAGGGCCGATGAAGATTAATCAGATTATCTAAATTGACAAACG